CTTGGAGCCGTGCCCTCCCAGCCGTTGATTTGTGATGCTCAGTCGATTGCTGCATGATCTTGTGGGGAGGTTTGTCTGATAGCTTGAACTCGCAGCATTTGTTGCTTGGTACAGCAGGGCTGGCTAGTGCACTCGAGCATGGCTGAAGACTTGGAGAGCCCTGCTCCGGAGGGGGTTGACCTGTGTGGCCTTGCAAAGGCATGGGGCGACGATGCAAGGGTGCGAGAGCCTCTTTTGAAGTCTGGGTCGCTGTTCGTTTGGCCCTGCAAGAAGACCACGGGGATTGCTAGTTTTGCAAGTTTGGCCCTGAACCATGCAGCCATTCATCACCTACTGGATTTCTGGTGCTGCCAAACCCCGACAGCCAAATCCATCTACATCGAGCACGCGAAAGCTGAGGCAACTGTTGGGATGTGCAGGGTATCTGATAGCATATGTGTGTGTGTGCCCTTTGTGTTGTACAAATTGTAAGTCTGCTGTCCATCACTGCAGATCGAGAAACTTCGAGACGACCTGGGGATGGCACCAAATGCGGTCCGGGTGCAATGCGATGCAGTGACATTGAGATCACTCATGTCGTACATGGTAAGACGGCACGACGGTGCACGACGAAAGGCCGCTTCGCAGCAGCTATATTTGTTTGCCGTGTTGAGTTGCGTGTCTTCTGCTTTTGCCTCAGGGAACCGAAGCCTAGGATCCTCGCACTCGTGCTTTGTTCGACAAAGCACTTCAGTTTTGGGAACCTACGTTTTCGAAGCGAAAGAGGACAAAGTCAGAACGCGAGCAGGACGAGGATGATGAGGCTGCCGTCCCCTCCGAGGACTTTCATCCTGAAGATGATTCTCAGGAGCAGGCTGAGTGTGACCGGGCAACTGTTGATGCCTACATGAACGTGTTGAGCCGACGATCGCCCGAAATGGCTCAGAGGGAAAGCCTCCTGCATGCAGCTGAAACCAGCCGCAGTGATGATGCTTTCATGGCCAAGGCTCTTGGCTCGGATACCATGCTGAGCACCCCGACTGCAAACTTGACGACAGGTTTGACAGCGATGTTGGAAGAGCTTGAGCTGTCGACAGAGAAGCCTCCTGTTACAGATCCTTTGGCCAGCACTTCGGAGCCTAAGCCTAAAGCTGATGGTCCCGTGGTGATTGAGTTGGGTGATTCGCCGCCGGAGCCGCCGAAGAAGGCTCCGAGATTGCACGCCGACTTCAGTCGTGGTCTGCCCACCGGGGCAGCTGCACGCCTGCAGATGCTGAAGTTGCTTGGATGGCTTGGCCAAGCATGCATGCATGGGTACAGTGTGTTATCACATGGTGCGATTGCCGAGGCGAGAAATCGAGCGACGCCAGGCCACTCGTCTGTGTGCCCGACCTTTGAGAGGGCAAGCTTTGAGCATGGATGCAGTTGACACATGCCAGACCGACATGTCACCGATTGCACAGAATCTTATGAAACGATTCGATCAAGCTGATGCTGTTGATTTGTCGAGTCCTGTGGCTTCTGCAAGCAGAAGCACCACGACCTCCCCCGCACCGGAAGCCGTGAATGGGCA